GATAAACGACATACATTTATGCAGCACAGTAAGCAGCTGTGGAGGGCCTGCACGTGCAGCCACATCTCGGATATCATCTGCTGCGCATCAGTTCGTTTTCATTAACAAATTTCAGTTTCCTATGCAGCGTTCGCGTTCAAAAATCTCGCGGGCTGAGAAGGCACAACCAACGCAGCCTGGAATAGCAAATAAGCCGGAAGTGTGACCTTGCAAAGTGGGCAGGGCGCAATCGTATAGTTCGTACTGCACACCCTCGAGAGCTGCTTGCATTGGTGGTATATCGAAAATCACAAGAACAATCGGCTGAAATGGTTGTTACTCTTAAAGTAACACTGGCATCAGCAGCACCACTTATTGCCGGGCAGGGTACTTGTTTGGCCTATGTGTTCTCACTACAACCCATACAGGGAGGTATCTCGTGCCCAGCACATCCGACTATCAGAAATGCTGCATTTGAGAATGCCCGATATTACATTTTCACAGTCTTCCGGACCAATGCTTTCTTCCCTCGTTTTTTAAGCAAGCGAGCAACACTCTGCAGCCGCACCAACCACGTCCCATACAATCAACCGTTTGTACAGAGTTCCTTTCAAGTGATGGCCAGATGGGATGAAAATGGAAAAGGACACTAGCACACGAGGCATTACGATGACACACGAGCTAGCAATACCGAAAAAGAACAAAGGAAGTGAACAACTCGACCGACCATCAGGTAATGCAGTATTCGGTGAAAACTTAACAGCTGAGCCGATGCACCAGAATGAAAATATAAAAGTACCAACGCCTCACTAATTTGCTCATCTGAAAGTGATCCTTGAAAAACTGAGGGATGGATAACTTATTCATTCGAAGAACTACCGTTTCAGGTCCAAAAACATCGCCCTTGGCAATCTGCAGCACAATTGCATAGCCGATTTGCCCAGCAGCACCAGTGACCAGAACTCGAATGGCCATCACCCAAACGTTTCAGTTGAACTGTTTCCGAACTGCAAAAAATTAATACCCCGGAGCTCCATAACAACAGATAGCAACATCGGATTCCCAAAAAAAAAAGCTCAGATCGCAATTATAAGACAAGTGTTCGGTGCAGGATCTGAATGGCAATTGTTACGACAAGTCGATGCTCGTCAGGGATAGGCGGAAAGCTGAGTCTTACAGTGCGCTGGTGCCACGCTCTCGGTGCAAACACAAAATGATGTAGAAATCATCGGGAAGCGCCGAACTGGCGCACTGATGGCCCACCTCAGCCGATTTAAGCTAATGGATAAATCAAAACCTATTTCTCTGCTATGATAATAAATAGCAACGCGCACCAGACTAGCCGGTGCGATCATGCGTTTTGTGCAATTCAGCCCAT